AATAAAGCTCTTTATCAGATAAAAGAGAAGAGAACAACTTTCTAGTAGAATCAAAAGGCCACATCACACAGAGCGAAGACTAGAACTGATGAACTAAAATCTAATTGACATTGAATGAGCCATTTAACCTAAATTTCTCTAGAGTTACGGTGATGGAAGTACCTATTGAGTAGGGATGGAATTCACATGCAAGATCCCACGTCAAGTTTAACATCTGAGGAAAAAAAAATATTTCCCCTGGTTTCTCTACAGACTCCTATATGTTCAAAGGCATCATGTGTCCATACTGTCTTAAATTTTATTAGGAACATGGATGCTCAGGCTTTTAAATCTTTTGTGTATGCAACATTCAGCACCTCACAAGTACAAATCTTAGGGGGAGGAAGATGATAATGGCATTGGAACAATGATATCAGTATCTACATCTCCACCAAAAATGATGATGAAAACTAAAAGTAATGATAACGACATTAAAAGTAGGAAACTCCTTGTTGTCTGTGGAGAGTAAAGACTCAGAAGCCAAGGGACTGAGCTTAAATTTAGCTCTGTCTACCTCCTGAACATGTGATCTTGAGCAATGACTTAGCCATCTTGGTCCTCAGTTGTATTGTCTGTGAAATAGGGGTTAGCAACAGTACATTTCTTCAGCAGGCACAGAACTGGGCACTTTAGTATCTTGACAACATTTAGGACAGAATTTGGTGTAGGGTAAGAGTGACAGCAGCATTTGTTGAAAAGGAAAACAGCAATATATCTCTGCATGTTCTAAACAGGGCACTATGGCTAGGTAGGGGTTGTTGGGAAGAGTAGAGCCAATGTTCAAATATGTATGGTGATTGCCTGGATCTGCAGTTCCCACAAATCTAAAGCAAAAGCAGAGCCAAAACCCATGCTGGCTTCCTTGCCTTGGGAAATCCTATGTTCCCTTTCCCACCCTAGTTGCTACTTTTAGAATGACTATAAGCAAGATTTCAAGAAGAGTTTGGTTATGTTGTGGGATATTGGTACATTGTGTGAAAACATATTGTTGAAATTGGTGTAATAAAATTGAATGGCCAATAGCTAGCAAGAGGTTAGGCCAGACTTCCGGTAACAGAGAAGACTCTAGGAAGAAGGGCAAAGTCACCAGCCAGCCAGGAAGAGGAGACAGGAGGTACAAGATGGAAGAGAGGGAGTACAATGTGGCAGAACACAGATTTTTAAAAAAGGGGTTAATTTAAGTTATAAGAACTAGTTAAGAACAAACCTAAGCCAGGTGGTGGTAGCGCACGCCTTTAATCCCAGCACTCAGGAGGCAGAGGCAGGTGGATCTCTGTGAGTTTGAGGTTAGCGTGGGCTACAGAGTGAGTTCCAGGAAAGGCGCAAAGCTAAAAAAAAAAAACACCACCACCAACAACAAACCTAAGCTAAGGCCGAGCTTTGAAAACTGATAATAAATCTCTGTGTCATTATTTATGAGCTAGCAGCCCAAAGAAAAATCCAACTGCATGGTTATACAGACAGATATTATATTTAAGAATGAATGTATACACATATATATGAAAAAAGAGGTCATCAATTTCAAAGAGAGAAAGTATATGGAAGAGTTTAGAGGGAAGAAAGGAAAATTATATTATAATCTCAAAAATAAAAGAATAAAAGCATTTAAGTTATCCTTTTAAGACACGAAACCTTCAGTAGCCATGTGGGGTAAAGGTCTTTGACAGATATTCTGAAATTTCTTTCCAGAGGTTGGAGAATATTCAGTTCCACACTGTTCATGTCAGTCTTTTACTATCCTGTGAAATATAGCATGTCCACTGTCACCAAACATATTGTAGAAGTAAAATTGATTTGACATAACAAAGGAGGCCTTAAATGAAAACCTGTTGAAAATCTTGTCTGGGAAATAAACTTAATTACTATAATTAACAGTGAAAGCCAAAAGAAGCATTCTGAACCACTATTATTCTATTATTATTAACATTAGGAAGGTACTTCATTTGTCAACATATTTTATAATCATGTCTTAGTTAATACCCATAACAGACTTGGGAGCCATAAAGCTATTTATAGCTGGATTTTCTCAGCTTAATGTCTTTCAAACATCCTTTTGCTTTAATGTCCAAATCACTATCAGCCATAAATCAATTTACAATCATTCTTATTTGTATCACTTCAAGGTGAGGGAGGGACTCCAGAGGTCACCCAGTCCAGAAGAGCCAAGTAATCATTGCCATGGTTCAGTCTTTATCTTCATTACAACACTAGTAACAAGCAATCTTCTTGGATGTGCACATCTCCATAGAAGGATGATATGCCTTCCACAGTTGCTACTAAAACTGTTATTTTAAATTGAACATCTTTGTGCTACACAGACTGTTGGAATAAAAAGTTTACTCTCAATAAGACTCTTACAATTTCAACAACTACCAGTTTATGTGATTTGTAACTAAGGCAACAGTAAGGAAACTTTTGCTCAAAAACAATACCAGAGATTGAAAATTTTATCATGATTACAACATAGAAAAAAAATAATATCTTTAATCATACAAACAGCCTTTCCTGAAAAAACGGGCCTTTGGACTCGATCAGGGAGGGGCTCTCCATTGTCCTGGAGATAAGGAATAATGACGTCATGGCTGGAAATCTCTCATTTGACTCATGCTGTGTTCATAGCACCTGGCTGCAGGCAGCAATGAGGGTGTGGAAACCACAAGTGTCAGAAACTGCACAGTGAATATGGTCATGTAGAAAAGGCACTTGGCTTCACATGAGAAGACTCAGCCAATTTCTACCTGACATTCCTATGACCTCTTACCTTATACAACAGAAATCATAGATTTAAAGGGGCAGGAGGGGCAGGAAGAGTTGCCAGCCCCTGTTGCTAACTGATACTGTTATATTTTGCTTTGTTACTCACATTCTTCACCCTGTCCTTGATGCTAGAAGGTAAGAAATGTGATCTTTTGTCAACAGGCCAGCTGACTCCAGCTACATAATTGGACCAGCAAAAAAGACATGCCACAGAGCTCACTAATGAATAAACATTGTTACAAACAAAGTCAGACTGGGAGTGACCTGATCCACAGCAAAAGTTAACAAAGCAACAAAGGGTTAAAGGAACTTGCTGAAGGCCTCTTGGTACAACAGTGGCATGAATGTAAATGTGAACTGAATCTAGTGAATCTTAGGTCACTGATTAAAAATATGTATCTTCAGGTTACTTACTAAAGGACTCCCCCATGAGCATTTACTAAATGAACACTTACTGGTTAGCAGTTTTATAAATACATGAGATACAGAGAAAATAAGTCATGGTTTATTTCTCCAAAAGGCCTGTATTCTGCTACAGAAGGAACATGAATGAATACATAGAGATCAACATAATAAGTATGATAATAAAAAAAAAAGGTAAGCAGGGTATAATGGGCTATAGACTAGGAGCTTAAACATGCACTGAGAGTTGCAAGCAGGCTTCCTGTCATAGGTAGCACCTTTGTGAAATCCTGTAAGTTAAGAAGGTAATCGATAGTTTGGGATTAGGGAAGGAGTAGGTTGACAGAGTAGCAGGACATATGATGGAAAGAGGAGGGAGCTACAAACAGGCCAGGGCAGCAAGGCATGATATCATCACAGAGACAGGTAAGAAAACACTATGAAGAATACATTGGCCCCTGATGAGTAAGAAAAGATGGATATGAAGAACAGAAATCTTAGAACCAGGAAGGGTATATGCAGGTTAGCGACCAGTAGGCCCGAGCTAGATGGAGAGGAGAGAACCTGAAATATCTCCAAGAGGGAGAGCTGCAAGGTGCTGCAGAGAGAAGGGTTGGTTGGGAGACTGAGATAGCAGGTGGGATAAATGATGTATAGTCTTGCAGTGTTGGTGGGTCTGAGTGGTGAATTCCAGTGACTATACTGTGCTCTCTACTCAGCTGAACTGAGAACTTCTTCTCAACAGTGTTCCTTCTGCTGAGAATGTTCAGGATCCTAACTCAATCATTTCATATGTGTTTGCCTATATTATTGGTTGCAATTATAGATGAACTTTATCCAAATCCATGAAGAGAAGTCAGAGCAGGGTCAAGGAGGGTATTAACTGGAACTACAGACTCAATTCTGTATGTTACCTTATTAAGTATGTCTGGGCAATGAACCTGAATATTGAAGGGAAGGAAGAAAGGTCCATGAGAAAGCAGAAGCATAGAGAAGAGATGACACCTAAGAGGTATCTCCACTTCCCAGTGGAAGAGAACCAAACTTCTACCTGGTCTCATGGAGATCTACAAGGTCTACTGGACAGCATCTTTAGCCTAACATAAAGAATGATTTCTGACAGTCAAAGCACCCAGAAAAGGGGCAACTCAATCTGGGGTATTATTTTATAATATCCAATGTGCCATAGCAAACTAAAACAGATTGGCTAGCTGGAAACAGAAATTCATTTCGCCGCAGTGCTAGGAGATAGAAGTCTAAAATATGTGAGGTCAAATTCCTTGGCTAGGTATTGTCTTCCTTCTGAATGTATCTGTCCTAATCTTATATTTTTAACACTAGCCATATTGGATTAGGGTCCACCACAGTGTACCTACTTTAACTTAATCTTCTCTTTTTAAAAGTTTATCTACGGTCTTATTTCAAAGTACCAAGGGTTAGGGCTTTAAATAGGAATTTTAGGTGGGATGTAGTGCAAATCACAACATAATCTGCCAACAGGAATATAGAAAAAGAGCTGGAGATTGTAGGGTAGCACAAACTGAAGCATCTAACTGGGGATGTCCTTGAAGGCTCCTGTAGTTCTGAAGCTACAAATCTAAGCATGGCTGGGCAACACCAAACCCCTGGTATTAAGCTTTCTTAATGTAATATCCTTCATATTTTGGACAAAAATTAATTTTCATGGCAGTCTGAATGATAGGTGAAAAAGCACACTCTTTATCTAACCTTCTTCAGGGCAACATGCAGGTGGTCAGGGACATACAAAGAAGCCAGGAGAGTACAGCAAAGACTGTTCTTACCTGTGAAAGAGGACTGACTTGACCAGGGTAACAACATCCCTGCTGGCATTGTATCCGGCACAGACAATGGCCACGTGGATGGTCTGAGAGAAAAGGAACAGAGAATGAACTATTATACAGACAGAAGAAAGTCTTCTTGTCTTGTAGGCCCACAGGAGAGAAAAATCATCCTGATTTCTTGTTGGGATCAGAGAAAACAAAAGGCACTGCCTGCAGTCATGGAGAATAACTTGAGACAGTTTTATTAAAGTCTTTTTAATTGGTTTATGGAGCTATCATCATTTGGAGGCCATTAAGAGTCTTTTCAATTACATTTTAGAGATGGTTGCAATGGTTATTGGCTCAAATAGGTAAACAGTGAGTCTCCTGCCCCCAAGCCAGGAGACAATGGCAACTGGCAAAAGAGAAGAAATGTACCCCAATGGACCAATAAGTCAGAGCTTTCAGACTGACAAGTTATGGTTCAGAGTGTAAACTTTTCTTCTGAAATGGATTAGAGTACTAAAGTCAACCTGAGAGCAGGCCAAAGGGACCAGTGAGCAGCTCGGGGTCCCATGGGGGATACCATCTAGGAATTAAAGGGCAGAACGGAGATGGGCATTATCAACCATCTCATTTAAGCTGTCAAAGTATTAACCACAAACATGAACTCTGACTCTGCCTTTAACCCCAGGTGGCTCTGGGAAAGCTGAAGAGCCAGACAATAACTACAACACAGGGCATGAATATCAGTTATGTTTGGTGGCTATGCTAAAATACCTGACTAAAGCAACTTCCATAAGGAAGACAAACTAGACCATAGCAAGAATGAAACCAAGTGGGGCAAACAACAAAGGCTGAAGTTCCTTCTCCAACAACTAGGACTCATGATGACACTACTTAGGTACAATATGTTTGGGATGCCACATCCTTCCAGTAGAGTTCCTTGTGGCAACTGTAGCTTCCCCTTTCAACTACCTCTATACCATACCTGCAGCTTTTCTTGGGGGTATATTTCTGGTTGGTGGCATTGCCTAATATCCTAGGATCTGTACCACAAAATAGTTTGAACTTCACAGATTCATACCCAGCCCTCTTGGACACTCCATATAAAAATCTAACTCAGCAACAAATTACCCCAAATAAGTGGCTTTCTGGAGCCTTTATTCAAGCCCTCATGTCTCATTTTTGAATTTTGCAGGTACAGTAGTGCTCTATAATTGAATTACAAGTGACAAAAATATCTCTTCATACTCAAAGCTGTCAGTAAGGCTGGCATATTCAGGTTGGCTCTTCCTTAAGGTTAACAAGTTTTGTTGTTTTTTAAATTAATTTTAAATGGGGTGGGGGTAAGAGAGAAGGGGAGGGTAGAGAGGAAGAAATGGGAGGAGGAAGGAAAGGGGGGACATCAAGACTGTAGGAGCTCAATAGAACTAGTCACATTATATCCAAACTCAAGAGCACAGAGCAATGTATTAATATATGCATACTAGTTCTCTTGCCCTCTCTATACTCATACTGCCCAGAATGACAAGTGAAGGAAATGGTGTCTGCCAACAGTGGCAACACCTTCTTACACCAACCACAACAACCAATATTCTTCCTCACAGACATAAAGAGGCCTCTGTCAGATGATTCTAGATTGTGTGAAATTAAATATTAAAATCAACCATCACAATGGACCCATTCTGACAGATCATGGTATCACATCACAGCTCCTGACTTCCCACTATCCTGGGCAGCTCCTTCTTGATGTTCTTCTTCTACCCTTCTCACTCCATTGGATGCTTTGTGCAATGACTTCTGGCTAACAGGAATTCTTCACACCACATTTAATATTACCATGGGAAGCACACCCATCAGACACAAACGATAAACTATATTCATCAGCCTCAATCCATTCCCATAATATCTCTGATCCCAATTACCTTTACGCACACTGACTACTCCCACCACCCCCAGTGCTAGAAACAGGATTCAGCTTCATCAGAACATCACTGTCTAGGAAAATCTATTGTCATGTGGTTACCACATCTACTGGATTCATTTTTATTTATTTTTTTGTGTCTTTCACATCAAGCATGTGGATCACATTCATTTCCCCATCCCTTCGTATCCACCCCTGCCCTTGCAACCTCCCACTCAAAATAAAATAAAATAGAAAAAAAAAAGGAGTAGAAAAAAGAAAAAAAAATCTTGTCATGGAAGCTGTAGTATGACACAGTGAGTTATGCAGTAAACTCTTATTTATATCATCTTTACTTGCAAATGTTCATTGCAAAGAGTCCCTGGTCTGGTTCTAGGCCTCTGTTTTATGCTATGCAAGGTGAACTCTCCAGCACTGCCCTAGCTAGGTCATCCTTTGCAGCAATGAGCAACGGGTAGTGCCTGTCCTCCTCCTTTCAAGCACTCAGGGTTGGCTCTTCCACATCTTCACCATCAGGGCCAGTTCTACTGTATTACCCAGGTGAGGTACAGACTTGCTCTCCACAGTGCTGCAGCTGGTGAGGGAGAGGGGCAGTTCTCCAGCTCTTATGACCTCAGGGCCAATTCTCCCACCAGCCTCAGGCTTTGGAGGGTGGGGGTGGGCAACATATCTATCTCTCGCCCAGGCCACCATATGGTAGATGAGGTGTGGAGCCAGATCTCTCATGCTCACATTCTGGGGCCTGGGGCTCACCTGCAACCTCCATCAACAGGGTCAACTCCACTGTGCTGCCCAGATGAGTTACAGGGCCTCTTTCACAGTGTTGCAGCTGGTAAAGGGGAAGGTCAGCTCTCTTGCCAGCTGGAGGCAGCAGGGATGAGTGGGGGACTGTAGCTAATTTCTGCTGCAGAGGTCCTAGTTTCCAAACACTATAACATGACCTTCCCAGCAGCACCACACCTAGCCTCCATTGTTCCTCATCTAAACAGCCCTCTCATTTTATCCCCAGCCTCTTCCTATACATCATCCCTACCAAAGACACAAATCCCTGATCCCAGGTACCTGATATAAGCCTCATGCTCTGTTCTTGTACCTAAGGGCCAAGAAAGATGAAGGGGAAGAAAAGACACTAATAGCAAGCACAATGAGAGGTGGCATCAATCAAGAAATGACTACATCCCGGGCCTTGTGCTTCATATCACATGCTTTACCACACTTAAACCTCACAGCTGTGTGAGTCAAGTACAGTATTTCATTTTTGTATCACAGATAGGAAACTCAAGCTTGGAGAATATTATGGTTTGAAGGGAACTGACTCTGTAGGGGACCCCCAAAAAAGCTTGACCACACAGCTGCCATGACAGGATTAGAGGCACAGATACAGCTTCTGGCAGGTAACTTCTGGACCCAGGAAAAGCCATAAGAGGACTCCACTCAGTGGGGCCTGCATCTAAGAGGAAATGCCTGACATTCCAAACATTCTCTATATCCCTAGACAAATGTCAGCCAATCAGAGTCCTGAACCCTGGAAATCCCCTCACCTCAACCTCTGCTATAATAAAACCCCCACCTTACCTGTACTCAGGGCTCTCTGCTCTCACCATTGCTTTGGACAGACAGAGACCAAGCCCTAGAGCTTGAAGATGATAAACGCTCTTTGCTTTTACATACGGGATTCAGTCTCCATGGTGGTCTTTTGGGGGTCCCTTCAATATGGGCATAAAAATTCCTCCCATCCTGCACCAGGATCCTATGTTTGGGTAGTTGATCCCATGCTGGTGGCACTGTTTCAGAAGGCTGTGTAAGCTTTAGAAAGTGGAGTTCAAGTGGAGTCCAAATGGAGGAAGTAGAAGGGAGGAAGGCTGACTTAAGGTTCATGGGCCAGCTCTGTTTCTGGCCTGGGTTCTCTGCTTTCTGGATGCCTATAAGGTGAAAGGAAATGCCTCCTATTCCCATTGCCCCAGCCATGAGCCGCTCTCACAGACATGTGTCCCTTAGCACAGGGGACTATATCCTCTAAAGCCCTGAGATAAAGTAAGGCTTTCTTCTCTCAAATGGCTTTTATTACATATTTTGTCGCAGTGTCAAGAAAAGTAACAAATACATGAAGTTAGGATTTTAACAGAGCTTCTGAAAACATACAGCAGGATCTTCACATGCTCTGTCAGAAGGCAGTGTCCTCTACATGGAGCACCTGACCCAATCCCAAGATTCAATAGCTATGAGACACAACCATTTGGAGTAGAAATGTAACTGACATCTTGTAGATAGAGCTAGGGATGCAGACAAACTATTCTAAAGTATACAAGAAACCCCCCACCCTGCTTGTCAAGTAAGAATTGTTCTGACTCTAGAGTAAACCATACTTTTGTTAAGGGGCTGGGGAGTTAGCTCAGTGGATAAATCACTTGCCAGGAAATGGGAAGACCAGAATTTGTATCCTCAGAATCTATGTATATTCCCAGCAGGGGAGGCCATTTCCTGGAATCCTAGCCCTAGGAAGGTGGAGACCTGGAATGCCCCCAAGCAAGCTGCTAGATAGCTAGTTTAGCTGAATCCTCAAGTTCTGGGTTCAGTGAGATACCCTGCCGTAGTAAATAATATGGATACAGAATCAGGAAGATCCTGGACACCCATCTCCTGTCTTTATATACATTCACACTCATTGCTAAGGGACAGCTGACTTCATTTTTCTTTTTAGTTAAACAATGTCAGATTTTGAGTATGTTCTTAGCCGGAGGTCAACATTTTTTGACTGGTTCTTCCTCAATAATGTTGTGAATTACACATTGTAACTTGTTTCCATTGTTTTGAGAATTGACTGTGCATAAAATGTTTGGTGGTATGTTAACTGTTTCACCATAACCTTATAACATGTACCTGTCCCATGATCATAAAAATAACTTCAAAATTCCACTTTTAATCACTTACTTGATTGCTATAAAGAGGTTCCTATACTTTGGTTGATTGCTATTTTCAGTCTCCTGTAGCTCGAGTTTTCCTGCCTGGCCCACAGTCAGGACAAATCTCTCTCACCTGCCAGTCCCACAGCCGCTCAAACCTGACCAAGTAAACATAGAGACTTATATTGGTTACAAACTGTATGGCCGTGGCAGGCTTCTTGCTAACCGTTCTTATAGCTTAAATTAATCCATTTCCATTAATCTATACCTTGCC